TTATTGCACTGGTATCGTACCGAACAGCCAGCGGATCCATACTTGGACGAGTACGGGATTCCCAACTTGGACGACTGGAGCAATATCGAAGGTCGACCCGAACGTATGCGAGATATCAAACAAAACGTTAGGGACATGGTGAGCCTTCTGCCAGGAGATGACGACCGTTCGATTGGGAGGACACATTTCGATCATATTCACCGAGTCATGTTGGAGGCGCTCCAGTGCCCAAAGGTTCTCTGCAGGATTCCATGGTGATACCTCGAGACCCGATACCAGATTGGATCTTTCGAGACAGCGAGACCATTCGAGTCATTACCTAGGACATTGGCCAGAGAAGCTCCAAGAACGCACAGCGACACAGACATCTTCAAGACTCCGATGAGGAACGTGTCTCAGGGAAGCTCGCAGTACAGGACACCAAAAATGCCAGCACCATTTCCCTCAGCAGTGATGCCAACCAATCTCACCGACGTCTGTTTCCGCTGCGACGCCAAATTCTACTGCGAGACCATCATCGGAGTTGGTGCCTATCTCAGTGGCGAGATCTCCGATGCAAGTTCGACTTCACACAGCACCTCCACTGCCAGCACCGGCGGTGACTCGACCACAGACATTGGTGCCAGACCTGGACAAAACAATGATATTGGACGGAAGCGGGGCAGCCGACATCCCGATGCATATGGCAGATCAGGGCATAACGGCTGCCGCACCACCTCTACCGGCGGCACCATCATCGACAGCAACAACCAGAATACCACTCGCGCCGACAGCGACAATGACACTCGCGGCGACCTCGGCTCCCTCATCTTCCTCGGCCTGGTGAAATCAGCCACCACCTGGAGATGGCAACGATCGCGATGAAGCCACGAAGAGAGCTCGCACGCAGGTCGACCCGAGTCCTTCAACATCCTTTGAGCAGCATGTAACTCGACACTACGCAGGAAGGAAGCAGCTCGACCTTTCGACGACGAGCAGGAGCCTGAGGTCATCGACGCGGACGTGACCGACAAGCTCAGCCGCAAATAGGAATATTCAGACAAATCACATCAAGAACCAGACGGGTCAGTGTCCACCGTATGACAAACAGCAGCGTGAAGGTCTAGATGAACAAGTTGTGCCCGCACAACGAGATGACGGTGGTCGAAAACCTGAACCAGATCAGTCGACAGCTGATGACGGAGTACTGCTACAGGGCATCAGCTCAGCAGACTGGCATCATCTTCAAAGCCTACCTGGTGAACAGCATGCTCCCATCGATCTTCCAGTGCAGATGGACATGCCACAGTCCATCGCTCCAGCAATTGATGATGGAGACTGATTCGCCAGACGCAGCACCGCCGAATAAGATGGAACCCCTGCCGGACGACGAGATGTTCATCAATGTGATAAAGGAGTCATTCCTGTCGAACTCCATGACGATGGTGATTGAGCAGCAGCGGCAGGCGAACTACTTCACCAGCGAGATCGAGCAGGGGCACGACACCAGCGAGATGTAGCTACCAAGGGACCGAATTCAAGCAGCATGGGTTATTTCAGGACCATGGAGGCAAGATCAATGTGTTCTGCTCGACCTTCAGGCTGGCGAGGCGGTTATCTATGCAGCTCAGGCAGATGGCAATCTGAGTTAGCAAGGCATATACGAGTATTGGGACCTGGTCGAAGAAGGAGATCGATCTGAGATGACGGCGTTCGTGGATTACTCCGTCTGCGCGTGCGCTGTAACAACGAACCTGGGCTCCAGAAGCATCACAGATGCCGTCTGGATTTGAAGATGAAAGTGCAACAACAAGAAGCAGATATTGAAGGTCAAATGACGATCATGTGGTCGCGGATTTCTGGACTCTCAGAAACATCAGATGCAGCGACACTCAAATACAGCTTCCAGGACAAGTCCAAAATTCGTGGTAAGCATGGCACAGCATCACTCTGGAACAGATCGTGAATACTCGGGTATACCCACGGCGTGGCTTCAAGGTTTGTCTTTCGATGAGTTGAAGCAAAGATCTACATGAATACAACGGAGAGAAGGCTCGGAGCAAACAAGCGGCAAAAGCTTCCCTTCACTCACAATGGAGCTCAGCACAAACGGTCGGCACATGACAGCATCATAATACATCAGATAGACCATCTCAAGAACATCAAGCCGTGCGAGATCCCAACGTTAACCGATGACCGACTGGCTTCAGCTTAGTACGCGCATGGATTCAGAAGCATCATGACCAACATGCTGTCCCTCTGCCACTGCAGCGCCCACTTCCTGACGGAAGCTAATCTGCTGCAGGGATTCCGCAGCGAACCAAAAATCGTGCACTTGCAGCGAGCCTGCGCGGTGCTGAAGAAGGCTCAGTCGGAAAACCAGCTCGTGGGACTCCACTTTCCTCGACTGCGTGCACCACATGTCTTGAGAGCGATCGGCGACGCGAATCATACTATCAAGACGAGCGTAGATCCTCAAAAAGGTCCAGCTGTTCTTCTCATGCACGACGCCTCTCTCAAGCTGGATAACAAGACGGACATCATCATGGACAAAGGTTGCTTGAGTGGTGAGCGCCATACAATGGCAATACTTCTTTCGAATAACGCGACGAAGGTTGCTCCTTCGCCGTCCATGGGCAAGACGAACTGCGTTCTGAGAGTAGTGAGCAATGCACATGATCGCGCTGAGTATCACCGAGATACAAATGGACCAAGGCATTCCTCACTTGGCTCGAATCAGGGAGATGACGCACAGAAATGGGAATGGAGCCTATGGGTTGCCTATAGATGACCTTACTGATTGCAAGAACGTGTTCGAGCTGGTGACCGGTCTCAAAAGGGTACCACATCACAAGCAACAGAGGCTTCCAGTGATGGCATCGTGCGAAGAGCGCATCACGACACGTACGAGATGAACGGTCCATATTCCGACGGTTGTCATGATAGCCGATGCCGTGACAAAGCTGGGAGTTTTCAAGCAGATGATGAAGTTGCTGACGACCGGGAAGCTTCACATGGAGATAGTGACGAAAGCGGCTACTGCTCGGCGTATCCATCACTGGCCTTTCGACTTCAGCGAGTCGGACATCGAAAATATCCCAAAGTACGACGAGATGGACAACTGTCGAGACCACGTGAGGATTGGCTTCATGATGCGTGAGGCCGGCTGCCGCCGCCCAGATATCCTTCCTACCCAGCTCCTCCTCCTCCTCCTGCTCCTCTCTCGAGCCAGCGTTTTTCACACCTTTTATGCATGTACGTGCGCAGTACTGGAAGAAATCGATTTCCATGTTCCACATGTCTATTCGCAACAACCCTCAGAAAAAGATAATTCGACTGATAATGTCAGTTCATATGCAGTATAGAGCAGCGTATGCAGAGGTCTGCTTGATCATGCGTCGCATCTGTTCTGTACGCACATCAGGGCTCAGGGTACTTCGCGATTCTGGCTAAACATTTCAGTGCAGGGACGGGCGCCCCGCCCCCTTCCCCCGCTCTTTCCTCCTCCTCCTCCTCCTCCTCCACCTCCTCCTCCTCTTCCTCGTCCTCCTCGTCCTCCTTGTCGTCCTCCTCCTCCTCCTCTGCCAGCCGCGGGCGCCTGGATCTCCCCCCCCACCACCCACCCAGCGAGCACCACTGCGGAGCGGAGCCCAAATCTCCGACGATATGACTTCTGTCAGCCGGCGGGTTCCCTTCGAGGTCGGCCCTCGGGGGCAACGGTCGGGCCCCGGGGCCATGAACCATGAATCCGGGGCGCTCTTCCAAACTGCGAGGCTGTGAAGCGCGCGTTGTGAAGTGACGGGTCGCCCACGTGTGGCCCACGTGGGGCCCACGCCGGGACGCTGGGCCACTGGTATTGTACGGCGTTCGCGCCGCTGTGCGCTCCCAAGCCAAATTGTTGCAGTGGAGGCCAGTCCACATGAAACCTTCCACAAGAAACCCAACCCTGAGACCCCAGGACGTCAATTGATGTATTTTTGGTGTGGGAACGTCGCGCTTTCCTCAGCAAAACCATCGAAACCCAAGAAACCCAGGGCACCCTGGAGTCAAGCAAAGTGTTTCCTGGCCTGGGTCTCCACCGTATGATCGGGCGTCGTCAAACCGGGCGATCATTCTCCGAACGCCACACGGAATCCCGAGTAGAATCCGAAAGACACATGTCCCACGGGACGGCTCCATGGTGCGCGGTGCGCACGGGGGGGGGGGCCAGAAGGCCGTTGAGCGGTGGAGCAGTGAGCGGGTGAGGGCATTGGACAAGGAACCCTTGGATAAGGAATCCAGGGTCTGAAAGCTGGTGGAACGCTAATTGAGGCTTGGCCATGGATATCACCGCTGCGGTCGTCAGACGAAGAATCCTCAAAGGTCTGAGGCCGGCCTCCGAGCACGTTACTTAACGGACGCTTCCTGCGGTGGAGCAGTGAAGGGTCGGCTGGCGTGGCAAGAACGACACGCAGGAGTGATATGGGCGACTAAAAAGATAAGGGGTCCCCCACGTACGAGAACATGGCGGGTCCGGATCCGAGACTCCTGGGCGCTTTTGGGCCCTTCTGGTGTTCAGGCAAGGACTTTTCGCAAGGCCCTGGACGCACTGATGAAGTCCGCACTTCCTATACGCCCAAAGATGCCGCTAGACGCAAGAGACCGTCATGCTGTACTGATGTGTCTCTCCTCTCTCTGGCCGAATCCCGCGTTTGAGCGCCAATATGTCGAAGACGACGGTGTGGGGTAGCTCCATGGGTGCGGGAACGCAACACGCGCTCTCGGAGAAATGCCAGGGCGCCTGGGCCTGAATTCGATGCACCTGGGCTGGCTACAGCTTTCGCGGGAAAACTGGGGAATTGGAAAAAGCTAAGAATCGTCCAAGGCCCTGCGTACAATACCATGACCTGTCTCAAAATCGCATGGGGGGCGGGCTGGGCGAAACTCAGTTTCATGTGACATAAACAACCCGCACAGCCTGCATCCCTCTGCTGCGCAGCGCTCACACTGTGCAAAGAAACTGACAAGGATTGACATTTTTTCGGCGGAGCAAGCCTGCAACCCAAAGCTTGTCTTGTCAACACATTGAACGGGCGCTGTGCGGCGGACCCCTGCGGCCTAAACGGCCACACACAAAAATCCTCAAAAACGCACAGCGCCAACCCAGGCGGCAGGAGCGAGCAGGGGACAGGAGGGAGAACGCAGAAGGAGAGTGACAAGAAGGCAAAGGCCCGTCAGAGAATCTCGCGCGTGCGAAGACCAGACGCTCTGGCCAGAGCCAGAGCCGGTGCGCGCACAGGAGCCCTACGCGAGTCTAAAATTGGAGCCTCAAGTTCATTGAAACCCCGTAGCAGCCTGGCTAAGAAGGCATTGCCGCCTTGCCAGATGAGCGGGCACCTACTGCCACGGTAGCCCGATGCGACGCAAGGCACAGAAGGAGGGGAGGAGGAGGAGGAGGAGGAGGAGGAGGAGGAGGAGGAGGAGGAGGAGGAGGAGGAGGAGGAGGAGGAGGAGGAGGAAGAGGAGAGAGCACAGCAGAGAAGGGAACACGAGGACGAGAGCGACCGGCATGAAAAAAGAAACTGCTGAAACCGCGCGAGGGGGGCGCAGGGCACGGGAAGCTCCGAGAGCAAACCGTCCCTGACGCCCCCGCGGCGGAGAACGCCGCCCCGGAAATCTGGGGACAGCGCGCGTATAAAGAAACTAGCAAAAACATGCACAACGCTGTGAGCGAAACTGGAGGGACGCGGGAGGCGAGGGGCGGGGGAACTGAGCACTGCACCAATGCCATCGGACGCCTCCCCCCCCAGAGGGGGCCACGAGCCCAAGAAAGGAACACCTCGCGGGAGGGATGCTCTGTGGCAGCTGGCCAGTGCTTCACGCCTGCCGTTGATTGCAATTACAGCCTGTCGTGCCTGCAGTAGGCTCCGCCGAGCGATGCGGCGTGAGGCCCCCTGCTCGGGTATTGCTAGAATTCTTCAGTCGAGAGAAGGCACATTGCCTAGCCGCCAGAATGTGCATATCCACTGCCGCGGGGTCGTAGCCCAAGGAATCGAGGAGCGATGGGTATAGATATCTGGCCGCCTATACGGGCGGGCAGATCTCGATATCCATCACTCCTCGAGATCCCAGGGCACGACTCCGAAGCGGTGCATATGGCTATACTCTGGCGGTGGAATTGCGGGGCCCAAGCTGTCAACCATGAAAGCGATACCAGCGATACACCAATCATCTTTGCGCGAGCACTAAAAAGACTGGACTCCAAAATTTGGGTCTATCATACAGGAGCGAACCCGCTGGCGCGACCAGTGGGCCATGACACGCCTCATGAGCTACCCATTGAATGACACCCGCAGCCGACGAGAGAGCAAGAGAACCATGGCGCCCGCCCGCCCTTTCTGGAGCGCCACGCGATGATGAAGCAGCCAGTAGTCATTGTGCCACCCCACCTGAGCGACGATCGAAAAGGGGTCTTCCGCGAGATGGCATAGCGACCTTGCGCGGCGGCATACGCGCGCCGCCAGCGCGGCATGTCGCACTGGCAGCAGGGAGGGCGCTCAAAAGCGCGACCTCACGCGGGCAGCCTGCGCGCCGACGTCGGCGCAGACGGCCCCGTCTTTCGGCGTCGCTCACCTGCCGGCCGCGGCACTGCACTGTCAAGCGGCACGGGTTGCACTGCTGGCGGCGGCCACCGCGGTGCGGGCCGCCTGCGCCGCCCCGCGATCGCCGTCCGCGGCTGCTCCCTCCGCCCCTCGGGCCCTGGCTCAGGCCCCGGCGTCCGTGGCCGCGGTGCTGGAGCTCGGCGTGCCCCAGTGCGCCGCCTTCCCGCCGCCGCCCGCGCGGCCGCCCGCGCGGCCGCCGCCCAGCGATCGCCGCGGCCTCGCCAGGGTCAGGCCCGGGAACAGCAGCGACTCCGTCGCGGGGCCGGGGCCGCGCCCCTGCAGGCGCGGAGGCGCCGCCTAGGAGGAGGAGAAGAAGGAGGAGGAGAAGGAGGAGGAGGAGGAGGAGGTGCAGGCAGAGGAGGAGGAGGAGGAGGAGGAGGAGATGAGGAGGAGGAGGAGGAGGAGGAGGAGGAGGAGGAGGAGGAGGAGGAGCAGGAGCAGGAGCAGGAGCAGGAGCAGGAGGCGCCGCCGTGCGCGCCTCCCTCTGCGGCGGGTGGCCCTGGCGGCACGGCGCCCCCTCGGGCTCGCCGGTGTGGGCGCGGTCCGCGGCCACCGCGGCGAGGTCCAGGGCCGGGACGCGAGGCTCACAGGGCACCAGCCCCAGCGCCAGCAAGGAGCCCGCCGCGGCGGCGGCGGGGGGACCCGTGGCGCGCGCAGGGCGGTCCCCTGGGGCCACAGCGGCCTGGCACGCTGGAGCAGCTCCGTCGCCCGCGGGCTGGAGCGGCTCCGTTTCCTTTTCAGCTGGGGCCGACATCCCCATCCACTGCCCTCCCGAGGGAAGAGGCGGTGCAAGAGCGGCCTGGGCTGGAATCGCTTGAGTCAAAATGGCTACAGGTCGCCGTCACGGAACAGTCTTATAGCCGTGGGGGCCGGCAGCGTGGCTGAAATCGCATGCTTACATCAGTGTCAGCCTTTTGCGGTCGAGCGTCCAAGACGGCCTGAGAGGCCCCCCAAGATCGCTCCATGACGGCCAACGTACCTCCAACAGGGGCCCAAGAGGCCTCCAAGACGGCCCCAAAGAGAGATCCAAATGTGGGGTCTTGAACCGACATTTGGAGCCTTTGGCATAGAAGATGGAACCCGAAGGCGCCTAGAAGCCCCCAAAAGGTCTCAGAGGACGACCACCAAGAGACCTCCACGAGGCCCCCCCCAAACGAACAAGCCATACGCCACGAGGCGCGTGTGTAAACGCATGCGTCAAGCAATGCTCGACGCAGGATCAAGGACAAGCAGTGAGCAGGAATAGGAAGGAGGAGGAGGAGGAAGAGGAAGAAGGAGGAGGAGGAGGAGGAGGAGGAAGGAGAAAGAAAAGGAATGATATTGCCATGCCTGTTGCAACGTGTGCTTCCTGTCAGGACGACCAGGCCCCCAAAAGGCCTCCCAGCAGCCCTCCCAAGCAACCCCAAGAGGCCTCCAATGGGCTTTTATTCGAGGACCGAGGGGCACTGATCTGCCGCCCGCTTGACGTAATCACCGGATTTTGAGAATCCGCCTGGCTTTTCCAAAATACTCGCCTTGGTTTTCGGCATGGCCTGCCCGCCGCCACCGCATAACGACCGAACGACACATGTCATTTCCTCCCAAACAGCCACGATGCCTCGAGACGGCTGCCAAAATGGTCCACGAGGGTTCCAGAAGTTCTCGGATGGTCGCCAAGATGGCCAAGGAGGGGTCCAGAGGCCCCGAAGACGGTCTCAGAAGGGTTTAGACGGCCCATGATGACTCAAAGACGGCCACAGATCACCTCAACAAGACCCGAAAGACCAAATACGCCCGAAAGGGCCTCCTAGAGGGCCTGCGGGGGGGGTCCGAACATGTAAACAACGTGAATGCGATTGAACTGGTCGACAGGCGAACTACATTTTTCTGGCGACAGCAAGAGTTCCAGAAAGAAAAAAACCTAGAATCGGCACAAGCGAAACCCAGAATCCCTTTGGGAAGCCCGGAACCGATTTCAGGCGAAACCTGGAAATCCGAAAAAAAAACTGGAACCGGCACGTGCGACACCCGGAATCTCTCTGGGAAACCCAGACCCGCACGCAACCGAAAACAGGCACCGTATCCGAGAGAAGATGGCGAAACTTGAGAAACACAGCAGATGTTTCAAGTGAAAGGGAAAACTGGCCCCATGGCAAATGCCCTCGGCAGCGGCACGGACATGAGAAATAACAACGACGCCAGGGGCTCGCCGGCAAAGCGAGACCCGCCTGGCCGCGCCTCCCTCCTCCCCTCCCAGCCGCACCTCCCTCTTCCTCCTCAGTCCTCCTCCGCCTACTCTCCTCTCACCGTCCTCCTCCCTCCCTCCCCCCGCGCTGGCTCCTCCCGCTGAGTGCAGCGACAAGGGGGGCATGATTCAGAACCACCCCTGTTCCCCATAAAAGGTCACCTCCAAGAAAGCGTCAACTTATGAATCAACCTCCTTCGAAAACATAATAGGACCGTTCCCTAAGGCAGTCGGTCAGCTAAAATATTCAAATGACCCATCCTGGACCCCCCTTCGGGTGGATCCACGAAAAATAAGACGCCCGGTCAACGGCCGCCCAACCGGTGGGGAGTCTGATAAATCCCAACAGCCCTCTGGGAGTCGGTGGTTTAGAGCGTTTCCTCTTCCACCCCTCCCTCGTCCCCTTCGGGGAGGGGTTTACCCCTCCCCCCACCCCCTCCCCGTGGACCTGGACGGGAGGGGCGGGGAGGTGTCAGAGCGTCCATAACGGCCTCGGCGAGGAAGCCAAAATCATTAATTTTACTAGGATTTGGGCCCCGTTTTGGCCTCCTGGGGGGGCAGCCCTAATTGAAGCTCCACTCTTCTTTGGTAGATCTCCTCCAAGATGGCACAAAGAAGCGCCCAGGAGGCCCCAAGAGGTCCCAAGATGGCCCCAAGGTGGCCCCAAGAGGCCCCCAAGAGGCCCCCAGGAGGCCCCCCAAAAGACCCTCAGCGGCCCCAAGAGGCCCCCCCCGAGGCACCCAAGAGCCCCCCAGGATCGCCAAGAGACCCCCAAGACGTCCCAAGAGGCAACCAAGAATCGCCCAAGAGATACCCCAAGAGGCTCCGAGAGGCATCCAAGAGACCTCTGGCCCTTGTGCTTGCCCTCCTCCTCCTCCTCCTGTTCCTCCTTCCTGCGCCTACTCCTTCTCTTCCTCCTCCTCCTCCTCCTCCTCCTCCTCCTCCTCCTCCGCCTCCTCCTCATCTGATTCATCCTCCTTCTTCCCACTCCCTCATCCATCCATCCATCCACCTCCTCCTTCTCCTCCTCACTCCTTTGCACAGTTCGGCCGTCCTCCTCTTTGGTGCCGCACTTCCCTGATCACCTCAACTCGCCTGGACATCGTTTCTGGATGGGCTGGTGGGGATACTTTTTTGTCGCAACCGCAGGCGAGAGCGCCAGCGGCGAGTAGTAAGGTCCGAGCGGGCCGCGCAAGAGCCTAACTGCCTAAAGCCGACGGGCCGGCGACCTCAGCGGCGCTTCGGCGGGCGGGCCGGCGAGAGGGGGCGTGCGACGGGCTGGTGGGGATACGCGAAACGTCTAGAATTCGAAACGGATTTCCCCGAGTACTGGCCGAGTTGGAGAACGCATATCCACTGACCCCCCTTGTGCAGCGACGGCGACGACGGCAACAACGACGGCAACGTCGACGGCAACAACGACGGCGACGACGGCGGCAGCGACGGCGACGGCAAAAGCGACGGCGTCGGCGTCAGGAACGAAGACGGCAACGGCGACGGCGAAGGCGGCATCGGCAACGAGACGGCAACGGCGACGGCGGCGACGGAAACGCTGACAGCAACGGCGACGGTCACTACGACGACGACGGCGACGGCTACGACGACGGCGTCGGCGACGGCAACAGCAACGGCGGCGACGGCAACGACGCGCCAAACTTCGGCGAGATACGGGCCAGTTGCCAAACTTCGGCGAGATACGGGCCCGTTCTCGCCGAAGGAGTCGCAAGAACGGCCCGTTCTCGATGTGACGGGGGGCATTTCAAAGTCCTAACTGTCAAAAACGTATACAACCTCCAACATCGATCGTCAAACCAGGCCCTCGAAGACGATGATGACGAAGCCGACGCCACCTGAAGTCTGGCCCCCACATGACGGCCAACGATATCCCAAATCCTCCATCCTTGATCCGCGAAACCTGGTCCTCGACAACGCCGACGACGCGACCTCTGCGGACCTCCAAAAGAATCCTTGGAAGCTTCCGGAAGCCTCGGGAAGCCTGAAAAAGCCAGGGGAAGACTCAGGAAGCCTGGTGAAACCAAGGGAAGCTTCGGGAAGCCTCTTCTGCTGGGGTCCATGGCACACAAAGAAACATCACATGAGGCATCCTACGTACAACTCCCAGGTGCACAGAACTGTACCCCGGAGGCCTTTGACACCAAAAAGGCGGCAGGAGGAGGAAGGGAGGAGGACGGAGGAGGTAGGATCGGATCGGATCGGCCTTCCACGAAAGCGAGGTGCACGACCACGGCAGCCGGGGGGGGGGGAAAACTACTGAGTAACACAGCCCGGAGGAGGTAGGAGGAGGCAGGAGGAGGTGCGAGGAGATGAGACGAGGTAGGAGGAGGTACGCTGGCGTAGGAGGAAGAAGGAGGAGGTAGGAGGCGGTGGAGGGCAGGATGAGGTAATAGGAGGTAGGAGGAGGGGGGATGAGGTAGGAAGAGGCCGAAGGCACGCTCGGGAGACAGCCGCGGGAGGCAGCGGGAGGCCTGGGGACACCTCGGGAAGCCGGGGGAAACCTTGCGAAGCCCGGGAAAGCCTGGGGAGGCCTGGGGTAGCCTGTGGAGGCCCCGGGAAGCCTGGGGGAACCTTGGCGAACCTGGGGAAACCTCGTCCGCGGAGATTCGAGCCACCATCACAAAAGGAATCACGGGCACAACTGTCAAGTGCAGAAAGCTGTACCTCGGAGGCCGCTAGCGTCAAAGAGGCAGTAGGAGGAATGAGGTAAATCAAAAAAAGAAAGTAAGAGATGCGAGGAGGTAAGGGGTGGGACGAGGTAGGACGGGGCAGGATGAGGCAGGATAAAATCGGGGGAAGAGGAGGAGGAGGAGGAGGAGGAGAAGGAGGAGGAGGAGGAGGAGGAGGAGGAGGAGGAGGAGGCGGAGGCGGAGGCCGAGGCGGAGGCGGAGGAGGAGGAGGAGGAGGAGGAGAAGGGGGAACGAGGAGGAGGAGAGGGGGTGGTCCGAGGAGGTAGGACGATGTGGGAGGAGGTAGAAGGGGGTAGCAGGGGGTAGGAGGACGTAGGATGATATGGGAGGCGGTAGGAAAAGGGGGGAGGAGGTAGGAGGTTCAGTCGGGGCGTTGACCTAACGAACAACAAGTGAGGAACGAAGCTCCTTTTTTTCCTAAGTAAGTCCACGAAGTCTGAACGGACGGCCGAAACCTTCTCGACCGGCGTTCCGCCGTGAGTTGCCTTCACGATTAAAACCCCACGCCCTCTGCCAAAATACCATGGAACGCCCGCCCCCCTCCCCCGCCGCTCCAAAATCAAACGCAGAAACTCAGCCCGCGAAGAACGCGTTAGGAACGCCTGGTTTGCCCAGACAAGACGCGGCCCCCCAACGCGCGCGCTCGGCGACGCCCTCCAAACCGACGGCTGGCGAAGGACCCGGTCGCACGCGGCTGCGGGTACCGCGTCTGTGAACATCGTCTTCGGCGGAGCTCCCCATGCGGGCGCGAACCGTGCGAGGGGCGCGCCAAAGTGGAGTGGCGGCGGCATGCGGGCGCTGCGACTGGGGTTTTCGGCGGAGCTCCCTATACCATATAGGGCCTTCGGCGTGGTTCCCTATGTCCGCGACCTGTCTGAAGGGGGGGTAGCGAGAAAAGCTAGACCGTCCAATACTGTC